ACACACACGTGCACTACCAGTGAGGACCACTCCCATCCATGCATCATCATAAACTTAATTGAATTGGATGCCTTACTTATGCGTGGGTCGATGCATTTCGATGGTCCTCATGAGGCCTTTGTTCTTGTGCTGCGTGTGCGCTGCTCTTACCGGGTGCTTGGAACCAAGCAAATACTTTCGCCTTACGCTCCTTTCACCAACTAGCAGAGAAAGGAGGTATTTCTTGGGCGAGAAACAGGCGATTTCAGGGCGAGAAAGAGGCTTCATTAAGGCTAGAGGGCCTTTTATATGCACTAAATCTACTAACATGGGACAGCTTTCTTTCCCTTCAGTACGGCGTACGAAGGATTTGACCGCTCTTAAAAATCGACAGCTTCGATTGTGTTCGAACCCGCGAACGTCGGTATTACAGTCCGGTACGCGAACGGCTCGTCAATCGGAACTCCCATTCTTTAGACCAGAGATAGCCACACTGTCGATCCGGAGCCACTAGCAGCTCGCAGGGTGATTTCGGGAAGTTCGCAGTGTCACGATCAGTGAGGCTAACTTGGGAGTTGCTCCACTAAACACCGAAAGCTGACTCGGGAAAACAACTGCTTGCACACAAGTTCTTAATTTTATTTGTTTCTTTTGGCAGCTCACAGATTTACAAACTTTTATGATGGCTGAGAAGCTACACAAGTTTGGTGACCACTGCTTTAGACCTTCCGTCTGAACTCCTTCTGACTGACAATTCAGGAAATTTTGCGTAACCAAGCTTTGCTTGGCCGGTACGCGAGCATGACTGCTGTAGTGAGCGTTCTCAAAAACAAGACAAAAAAAAAAAAAAAAAAAAAAAAAAAAAAAAAAAAAAATCCCTGAAAACAATCCTTCGTCAAACGGAAGCGTAGCTTACAATTTGAGGCGGCCCTTAACATCTGACGCGACTTAACGCTCCTTCAAACGAACGATTCCGGAGTTTTAAGGAACACGCGCTGCGCACAACGGCTTCGAAGCGGCTCCGTCACTCTGCGCAGAGCGGCAGTGGCAGTGCGCATGCGCGCGTTTGGTAAAACTCCGGAATCATTCGTCGAAGGGAACCTTGTGAATTGGGCCTGAATTCATCACCGTTGGGCTACGTCGGTAGATTACCGCCAGGAATGCACCAAAATCCCTCGCCACCCCCCAGTATTTGTCACTGGCGTTTGACAGACTGATGCACATGCATCAGCCCCCCTCTCCCTCAAACGCTGAGGTCTATAGACCTACAGCGAATAGCACATGCCAATTTCGACTCACGAGAGCGCAGTTACTTCGGACCGTTTTAGAGTTGGTGAAAAAGATGGCGAACAGCTGGCGTACGCGACTCGCCCTTAACAAGCTACAGAAAGGAAGTTATTTCTTTAGGTGATACATGCTGGTTTGGAAAAACCCTCACCACGCCGCTACATAGTAGAAGCCAACATCCACGTCCGAGGAAGGATCCGAACCCGTTATCGCTAAAGTTCAATCTTCTAAGGCGCGTCGACCTTCACAATTTCGGCTGGCCTCTGCCTCGGGGGCCGACGCAACGCAGAAGGGTCCTCTGACACACACACACACACACACCGCAGCAGCCAACCAGACAGGCCGACAAGAGCAGCGGAAAGTACGCGACCCACTCATCTGCATCAGCATCCCAATGCACACGCCCTCACCCTATTCCTCATCGGTGCAACAATCGGGCGAATTCAACGTCATCCTTTAGACCAGGGTTGTCCAACTGGCAGCCCGCGGAACGTTATAACCCAAATGTGAAAGTCCCTTACACCTATGTCGGGCGGGAACACATCTACACACGTCTACCGCATGTGTTCTGCCGCGATCAACACCCCTAAACGCAAAAATAAGGTAGTTATAGATTTAAGGATTTTTTTTCTAGTAAATTCAGAAATTGAAAATTATCCTAATATGCTTCCCTGCGATATGCATGGTACGGCCTGATATGATTCCATCCCCCCTCCCTCGTTTTAGAGCGCTCGGGTAAACTGCAAAGATCAACAAGATGGGATCACGTTTAGATCGTCCGAGTAATGTAAATTTGACCCGCAACAAATTAAAGGTTTTATTTGTGGCCCTTAAGGCCTCGCAAGATGAATACCACCGCTTCAGACCTTCCATCTTTGTTAACAATCCATTTCTGTAATTATGGGTCCAAATGTATTTTAATTGTTGTGAAAGTTTTCACTATTTATGTGTGTGTATTTATATCATGCTTGATAGTGCAGCTCGAAATCTACAGAATCAGGTTTATCAATTAAGTGTCGACAATGGATCACCACACCTGCCAAGTACTTTAAACTATTCAAATTAGCCAACTGTTCATGTAGAAACAAATTCCAAATAAAGGTTTTAAAAATATGCATTGGCTTTGTCTGCCTTTGTACACGTGCCCAGGTGCTGTATAATGAACGGGGTTATGGAAATGCCGCTGTGCGAGTATAATCAACGGAAACATGAAATAATTCACGAAGCTACGCGACCGTGTCCACGCTGCACAATTAATTAGTAATTGATTGGTTCGGAGAGATTTCAGATTACAGTACTCCGAAGTTCGTGATTACCCTGAGAATACTCGGAAGTACATTAACACACCTTGAAGTGGGGGTACTGCGAAAGGTCGCACTGATCAATATGTACTTCTATGGCCCGCGGCAAGTGCTAATAATGGATGAAGTAATAACGAGTTAAAATCAAATGCAAAAGTACACCTCCTCAGCAAACATCACTCACCTCCTTGGTTCCAGTTCACAATCATAGCCTTGCTTTATATTGAGGTTCATCAGATAAAAAGAAAAGAAATGAAAAAAATATGGTGTTGAGACAGTGAATTCACAATATAATTTTACAACAAAGGACAATATTAATTACTAGGAGAATAAAAGTAAAATAAAAAGTGAAAATGCATGATATATAATAGTGATTAATGAAAGGAAAGTATTGGAGAAAATTTCTAATTACGAGGGGATGAGAAAGGATGGAAAAATAATTACGTACAATAACAGAACTATAAGAATGCATTAATTAATATGTTAGACCACTAGAAAATGGAAAGTATATGAGAGAAGATAATTACAGAACAAATAAAGCGAGTAAATGTTTATGCAATTGAAAATGGAGCAACAATACACCCAGATACAAAGGAAATTTTTATTTTCAAGCCTACCAATTTGCAATAATGGAAAGAGACCAAAAAAACAGAAGGGGGAATCAAATTAGAAAATTAGACAGCAAATACTGTGCCTTTATAATATACAATGGAGGGACTGGATGGTTCCATGCACCATCAGTGTCAAGATGTGAAATTTAAGAGAACAAAGTGGAAGTACCTTATTGCCCTTTTCCTGAGTATACATAATGTATCTCATGATACACTTGGGAATATCAGATGTATTTCATTTTGCAATTATCGGCACCAAAAGAGAAATATTTTAAAGACCGATTTCGCTTTAAAGAATACCCCTGCTCTCGCACTTCACTGTTATTTCAAACTCCAAAGCATTTCTAGTTCTCGCGATTCAGAATTCTCGAATCATTTTACCTCTCCGGAGTAAATCGTTGATAATAAATGCCAATGGTTATGTAGGTGAAATAAAAATTTAACTATATATTTAGTTAGTAACTTACATTTAAAATTCGTTAAAAGGGAAGTATTTTTAATGAAACATCATGAAATGTCAACAATTTTTATGAACAGTAGTGTATCTAAATTAATTAGAGCCTGTTGTTAATTAACAGACAATAACTCGTAAATGCATTAATGTAATACAAGGCTTTAGCCCTCAAGGGATGGTATAGGCTTAAATAAATTAAGTAAAATAAACTGGTAAATTAAGACGATTGATACAAAACTTCCCATTACAATCAAATACACATGTGTGAAGGTCAAACGTTGTGTTACTTTTCGCGTAGAATCCGTAACCAAATTGTTTATTCGGAGAGTAAGGAAAGAATAGATAATTCCATAGTCCCAGGAATCTACATTTGCTTTGGTCAGAGGCTGCATAAAGAAATGAAATAATATACATACAGTAACAGGAATACCACAAGATAAGAAAGACCATCAGTATACATTCATCATCGTTTTTTTTGCACACTCCTAACAGTTAACAAGAATCCTAAAGGTCTGTTTGTCGTACTCGCAAACTGTATTTGAAACCGGTAATTGCATTCATGCATTTTCATCGAAATGCATTTACAGGGACAAATGAATGCGGGAATTTCTACTAGAATTTGCAATTGCTCCTGGTTGAATGATGCTTAGATCACCATGGGATTGACAACCACGTGTTTCAAAAGTCATATTCGCAAGTGGCTCGCTAGATGATTTAAGTACATGCAAACTGTTCTCATACGAGTACTCTGTGTTTGAATTGACATGTTTGATACGAGCTTTTCAATAGCAAGTTGAATATTTCCTTGGAAAATATTTAATTTAATTCAATCGGAAAGGATATTTTACAACTGTAGTACTTGCGTTAGCAGAATTGAAAAGCTGTCAAGGAGACCTTACTAATGGTGTTAATCCCTAATTTTTCTTTAGTTTCTTGAAAAATAGTAATTACAATAAATTTCGGTAAGCTCTATACAGATTTTAATCTTCACAGAAGCATTTAGAGTAGACATGCAACATAAGGCCCACGAAACAAATTTATACGGTCCCCTTTATAAATACACAAATTATATAATACAAGTTAACCCATCATTTTTGTATTTAACATTCTTTAAATTTTAACGAACGAACTTTGTCCGACCTGTTAAAATGTTTCATTATTTTGGTCCAGGGGCAAAAAACAGACACTGAAGCTGATCGTTATGCGATTGAAAAGTACATAAGTCAATAAAACTACAAAACAGCTGTCTCATCAGCAAGTCGTTCATTCGAGTGGGCTTTCTCATTGAGCGCAAGGAGTGGGTGGCGTAGTGCACCGGCTTGAGCGCGAGTCACTGGGCGCCAGGTTGGGCTGGGCTGGGCACTCACCGGCTTGCTTCAGCCAGGCAGGCAGCAGCAGGCGCTGGTTGTCCAGGCTGTGGATGAAGCACGTGTACTGGCCGAGGTCCTCGCGCCGCACGCCCCGGATCTCCAGGAACACGCCCAGGATCTGCTCGTCCTCCCTACGCACAAAACACAATCGCAATTCAATGACGTTTCAGCTGCCCAGTTGAGAACTGACTGCTGCAGCTGGGACTCGAATCCGAATCTCACGGTATACGCCCAGCTGCTCTACCATCTGACGTTTGACGTGCTCACACACACTCTTACATCCACTACACCATCACACGTGCCGGGAAACTAGTCAGGAGCTTAGTGTTTCTTCCGACTGGGGCGGTGTCTCGCTTGTAGGAGATACCTGGAGGGGGAAAACCTCGCTAGCCGACTTGAACATCGATGCCGGGCCTCGCCCTCCATCGGGGGAAGCTCACTGCCACCTCCCGCGATAAAAAGCACTACACTTACAGGACTAATGACCCTAGCGGTTGTCGCGCCTGAAAACTAATCACTCAATTCAATGCAGAATGCAACTTATTGGCGCCGCAAATGTCTTTGATGTGTGTGGAAGAGCCGACAGTAGGCGACTCGCGTGCCCGCTGTGCGGCGTAGATTTTACGCACGTTCCCGTTCGGCGAAGTCGTCCCCACTTAAGGGATTCTGTTGGCTCCCGCGAAATTTTATGTCATGCTCGGCACTCGGCGTACATTAGTGCGAGCGTGGAATGATAGCACAGGCAGCAAAGAGGTGGAGCCAGGGTTCCGTACCCCCCCCCCCGAAAATTTGTTGATGATTTGGTGATGATGAGGGGTGAAAGGAGCACAAATACAACCATGCCTGGGGTGGGACTCGAACCCGCAATCCTTCGGTCCGAGATCGCTACGTCACGACTGCCTTAACGATGTCGGCCATCCGGACCAGTTGTTGATGTTGTTTAGGTTTGAAGCTTTCCATCTTGCGCGATGGATGGATATGAATTTGTTAAGGGATATTGTTTATTATCTGAGGTTCTTGTGTTTGCTTAACATGTTCATGAAGGTGGCCCGGATGAAAGTTTTGGCCGCACTCATTTCCCGTAGCTGTGCACGCGAAGGGGGCTCGAGGAGAAAGCGCGCTGGCCGCGTCTGTGCGGCGGCGGCGGCGGCGGCTGTCGGCGGAGGCGAAGGGGGTTCGCGTGACGCACAGCAGCGCGCGGCGCGGGCAAACGATCTGTCGCCCGCTGTCAATCTCAGCGGCCGCGGCGCGCGCCGCCTTCGCTCCGCCCACGCGACCGGCGCGCAGCCTGGCGGCGGCTGCGGTCTCCCGCCCGCCCACGAGACCTCCACGAGGACCTCACGGAGAGGTTTGTCGAGGAGAAAAAGGAAAGGAATCTCTCTCTAATGCGCGTGTGGAATGGGAACGCAAAGCAACGGCAATTATTATATTAGAAATGCTGAAGATAAATAACAATAAATAATAATAAAGTCGGCCCCGCAGACGGTTGCGGCAGCCGTCGTCTGCGCCGAGAAGGCTGTAGGTTCGAGTTCTACGTAGACCCGGTCGTGTTTGTGATTGTCCCTTCACTCCTCATCGTCATCCCATCATCTCATAATTCACACTTCAAGGCATAACAACCTTGTCGTACTGAGGGATATAGCTCAAAAGCTGATCCTGGGAAAATTACACACGTTATTCGTGTAGCGTGGTCAGTAATAATAATAATAATAATAATAATAATAATAATAATTGTCTTTGGATCAGAAATGTTCAACTTCCAGTCCTTGGCTGCTCACCTTTCTCCCACTGTTTTTGACGTGTGTTCCGATGTACACTTTTTACGGGGACATATCGTGCGTTTACACTGGTGTCTCCGCTTACTCGTATTCGAGTACCTTGCAATTCACTCTCCCGAAAAAATACTACTATTTTAAATACTATTTTAAGCGTGATCAGTGTAGATATTCGTTATATGGAAGTGAATGGGTGCCAGCATTGACAAAATAGGTCTTTAAAGACGATGCAACGTGGTATGTATTTGGATAAAGATTTCACCTAAAGTGACCTTTAGTAACAATGTAAAATCATGGTAATAGAATTACTCTTCTATTGCGAGAAAAAATTCGTGAATTTACATAAAAACTTAAAGTACATGAACACTTTTCAATAACTATTTTCTGAGCAATATTTCAGTTGTAACTGAACATGTAGAACAGCATATAAATATTACAGTCCGAACACCTAACCCGAGAACCCATACGCCGTTTTCAGTAAACATTTTCACTTAAAAACATTCGGGTTCCTTGTAAAATGAAAAGAAAAGAGAAGAAAAACACTTCCAGTGAAACGAGAGGAACATGTTATCTTTGAAGTAGCCAGGCCACCACCACCAAATACGAAAACGTTTACGGCCCGTCCCGTAGCCGGCCGAGCGAGTGCAGGGCAGGGCAGGGCGAGACAGGGCAAGACGCCGGCGACGCTAGGAGACACGAACGAGACCCTGGAATGCGCGTGAGAAGCGTAATGGCGGGGCGGGGCGTGGAGGGGGGAAGGAATGCCCGGCCGGTGCAGGAAGGAACAGACGCGCCGCGGCCCAGCCCCACTTCCACCTGCACACGCCCGGCCAAATACGCGCTGGTGTAAAGACAACACGGGGCGCGTGTTGATACAGTCCGAAGGAGGACGGCCGCCGAGGGAAGGCAAAGATCACCGAGGGGGGGCACAAAAAGTCACTCGGGCGATATGTCCCCGTAACGATGATGTCAACATCAAATGAGCTTTACATAACGACACAGAGTCCCCGGGCTGGGTGTTATTATAACGCGCTCCCACTGACGTAAGACAAACAGCGCTGGACGTGCGTACGCGAGTGTCTTCTGAGAAGTTTTACGTAAGTTTATTCTCTTTCTGTGGGGACAAGACTGAAGGGAACAGAGCAAGGGGTCCCACGCTTCAAGACGCCAATGGGTGCCATGAAATTTGTCAGGTCTCTATTTTATTTTGGGAATTTGAAACTATTCTACTGCATCACTACGACCCCTAAAGTTTACCCAAATAAAATGTATTTGTTACAAAACTAAGAATTCAGTTGTACATTTAACTGATATTTTTTTCGCGAAACTACACTTTTCTTGATAAAAGCTTCTTGCTCATTTAATGGTTTCTCATAAAGTCGCATATGGGATGTAAATTCTGGATCATGAATGATAACTAAAAACATTGCGTTTATTTTTATTGAACACCGTCTTGGTTTGAAGGTCGCGGTTCAGTAGATCACCTTTTAAAACTGTCAATAGTGACGAAAATGTCACTTGTAACTAAGTAATTACACAATAGTTGATATATTGAAATTGGGACTCTTGCTCTTGGGAGAAGCGTCTTTCCACCTGATCCAAAGTGGATTTAGTTATTTCCCGCAAAGAGGAAAAACATCGTCTCGAAGAATGGCCTTAGTCTACGAAAAAGGCATCTTTGATCACAAACAACAGAAACCTCATTCTGATTAGTCCCTCAAAATATGCTCTGCATTCCGGAATTTTAGGTTGTGGAAAATATCTTCTATTTTTTCTGCTTCCATAATTATCTACAATTGCAACTAGTAAAATCGAATTTATGAAACTAAATAATAATAATAATAATAATAATAATAATAATAATAATACAGTTCTTCCAAGACATTTATATTCTTCCAAGGTACCATCTTAAATTGAATCATAATTTTTCCAGAGTCTTAGCACCTCGTACGACATTGCAATAATGTTTTCATCTGCAGTTTTATATTATATAAATCACAAAACCATCTATTTGTGAGCGTTTCGATAATACGGGATGCAATTAAACATTCATTTGATCACCACGTATTTTATTGTAATATACGCTCATGTCACAAAGAGGATCAAGAGTCGCAAATTCAACAAGAAAACCACGTTGTTATAATGAATCGTAATCTAAACTAAAAGCGGCATCACTAGATGCTTCAGAGCAACAGCAGCAATCAGGAACGGCGTGCGTAAAAGAAGCCTAGAAAAACATGATCCGTGAAATACATTAATAGTAGACCGACAAAAAAATACTACATTCTCCGCTAATGAACCCGTTTTTCTGTCAACGCTTCTCTGAAAACCAATTTACACAAATCAACAGTGCAGTGTAGAACACACATCAAAGAAGGTATCAACAGGTGTTTAAACCTAAGTCAGAGAAGAAACACGGACGGTGGAAGCCTTTGAAGGCTCGCCTTTGGAGCGAACTACTGGGATGTAAGCTAGACGGCAGGCTTGCCGACACATCAATTGGCATCACGTCCTTCACCATGCCACAGGATCACCACTGTCGCAGATGCTTTCTCCATTGCCGTACACACGCACCATGCTCATAAACCCAGTGGCGGATCCAGGGGGAGGGGACATAGAGGGCTACCCAAAAGACCTAGAGTTTTCGTTTGTTGTCTTCCTTTATTTCGAAAAATTTATTTAAATATTTTTTTTATGTTAGAATAAAGAAATTTTATTGGAATATATTGTATGGTATCGTATTACACTACAATAATAATATACAATATAAGAAGTTTTGTGATTACTATTTAACGAAAATCTGTAGTGTTTCCCATCCCCATGATCGACTGGATTCATACGCCCCATCCAATCCACTTCTTTTGCGTTTTTCGGCAACGTCCCGCTTGCCACTAATACCTCAGCTACCACCACCATCATCATCATCATCATCATCATCAGCCACTGGCATCCCCAGCAGTTTCGGCGAAACGTTTTTCGTCGCCTTCTCAAACGCTCCGAACGCAATCGCCACAATCAACGTCATTATGGCCACTTTGTCGCCGTCGTCTCCGCAGAATGCAACACCGCCATCGCCGCCGTCGTCGTCTTCGCAGCGCCGCCTGGCTGTCAGCACGCGAGACTCATTACGCGGCGCCGCGTGCCGTCCCAGTCGGCTCATTAGGGCTCGCGGCCACTCACACCGACACGAAACGCCAGCGCGCCACCGCCCCGCCCCACACCGCAGCGCAGCGCCCGCGCGCCTGCCACCGCGCTGCCTGCGCGCCGCCGCCCGCCGCGCCCCTCTCCACCCCGCCCCGCAGCGCACCGCTACCGTACCGCATCGCACCGCCCCGACCACCCACCACAACTCACCA